CAGCCTGAAAGGGCAGAGAGACTGGGAGAGAGAGGCACAAGCGAGGATGGGAAGGGTGCAGAAGCGAGAGGGGAAAGATGTGATGAAGGGGTTATTTTAAAGGTTTTTTCAGAGTAGGAATGGTGTGAGAAAATGGAGCAGGGATGCTGGAGGGTGTATGGAAAACCGAGTTCAGTCAACGAGAAAAAAGGCAAGATACACAGAAATCACGGGAATTAACTAATGGGAACCTGTGATGCTATCCAAAGGAAATGGCACGGACAGGAGGAAGCCTCATGAGTGTTTTTTGAGAATTCTAAAAAAACACTCGCTGCACCTTTCCTCATAATCAGGCAAACCACAAATGTATCACGTGACTTAAACAAAGCGGGCTTACACACTTGATCCAGCCTCCTTGCATTTGGCCTGCAGCACCGCCCACCACACCATTTCCCAGTAATCTTTCGTATAGGCGATGATTGCCTTAGGTTTGGCAGCAGTGGAACGTGGTTCCACCACACCCTGCCAGCAGGACACATGAGAATCAAAATCTTTAAGCTGGGAGGTTGGGGAGAGGGAGGGATGGAGGGATCAATGATTGCCTTAGGTCTAGGAGCAGCAGTAGAACGTGGTTCGACCAGACCCTGCCAGCAGGACACATGAGAATCAACATAATAAAGCAGGGAAAACGAGAACAAAACACATATCATTTAATCCAGAGGCTCTAATGTTGGTTCATGTTTGCGAGGGAGGCTGGGGTGAGGGAAGGAGGGGCGGAGGGAGAGGGGGGGAGGAGGGAGGGCCGGATGGAGGGAGGGAGGGAGGGAGAGAGAGGGGGGTGGGGGTTAGGGATGGTTGGAGGGAGGGAAGGGAAGGAGGAACGGAGAGAGCCAGGGAGGGAGGTGGGGACCGTGAGAGAGGGATGGAGGGAGGGAGGGAGTGAGAAGGATGGAGGGAGGGAGGGAGTGAGAGGGAGGGAGGGAGGGGGGAGGTAGGGAAGGAGGGGTGGTAGGGGAAGGGAGGGAGGAAATGGGGAGGGAAGAGTGGAGGGGAACGTAGTACGCAAAAGCGAGGTCGAAGGCAGACGCACTAAGACTTCAAGAGCTTGGTAATGAGTTTCTGAGGATAAACTAGCACAGGGGCGTGTCTGATGGTTAGATAAGAAATGACGAGAGCCTTCTGTTAGGCTACAGATTTGACCAACAAGAGCTTTTGATCAGAGATACATTTACGGCTTACCTTAGAATTGGGGAACCAAAAAAACGAAATAAACAGCCCTGGCTGGCAGGTCGTGTAGCCATCCTCATCCCATGCTCGCCTCCTCATCCCTCCAAATCCAGCTGTTTCAGGTCCAGCGCCAGCAGATGCAGCTGGTGCCCCGTGATTGGACTGCGATCCTCCTCGCGCTTTAAGAAATCCAGCTGTTTCAAGTCCAGCGCCAGCAGATGCAGCACGCGGAGGCGCGGAAGAGCCTCACGCGCCTCACGTGTCTTCACTAGCTGAACGCGGAGGAGTTTCAGTTGAAGCGCCATCAGATGCAGCACGCGGAGGCGCGGAAGAGCTAGGAGCGACTCGGGAAGGAGCTCGATCTCGTCGATGCATCGTAGCCGTACATCTTCCAATCGCGTGCACTTGGAAAACAGGTACCCGAGGCCTTGCTCTCTGCCCCCGCACGCGTGCACCGGCACCTGCGGATCCCAGTCGCGGCCTTGCGCTATGTCGAGATATACTAATCGAGGGCAGGAATCCGCGAGTGGGCGAAGGAGCGTCGCGTCGAGGTGCGTCACGGCTAGGACACCAAGTTGAATTCGAATCAGATTGGGGAAACGCGAGAGAGAGATAGCGAGAAAGAGTTGGCGAGCTTGCGGGGACAAAAAGGAGCATCCCGTTACGGCGAGCGACGGCAGCGCGATGGAGAGCCATCGGCGGCAGACGAGCGCGTGGGAGAACTCGGTGCGAGGCGCGGATTATCGGGGCGGGCTGAATGGATAGTAGCTCGACTCCGGGGGCTCGCAGCGCGCGGAGCAGGCAGGACCGAATACGCAATGTTTTTTCCGAGAGAAGATCATGCAGGCGGGGCTGAGGCGGGATGATCCGGCGCAGAGCGGAGACAGGCGCACCAGACGGCGCACTCCAGACGAGTGCGGAGCAGGCAGGACCGAAGACGCAATGATTTTCCGAGAGGAGATCGTGACGGTGGGGCTGCGGTGGGACGATCGTAGCCCCGGACGAGTGCGTAGCAGGCAGGGCCTGTTGTGAGCTCGCGGGTCGTCACGAGGAGCCGTAACAGAATGCTAATGAGGAGATCGTCGGGATAGGAGTTGATTCGAGATAAGTACGTCATGATGGGCCGTGGTTAAGAATTTAAGTGCGTCGCCGAGCGCGCGGTTAGCTTATGAGTCGGATAAAGAACAGAATGCGAATAATGAGATCGTCGGGATGGGAGTTGATGTGAAAAGGACACGCGAGCATGGACATGGCCGCTATTTTCTAAGGTAAGAAACGAAGTAGTCGGCGTTTTGATTCCCGCGAAAGCGGCGTGAAGTGCGATCTCAATTGCAGCGGCGATTCGTCCTATGACCAGTCCCTACGATATCAGGTGCTGTGTGGTAGGAGGGCAAGTAATACCTCCATGATGGATAGCAACTGCTTTTCGCACACCCCTCACCTTTTCGTCAAATCTGACTACGAATTCGTGCGGTCATTCATGCCCCTCTCTGGCAAAATACAAACGATGATTCTCGAGTTTCGCAAATCTCGCGAACACAACACACACGAAACGAAAAGGAAGGCGAGGGCAGCGAAGTCTGGGTGCTGTGATGGGAGGCTTCAAGAACGCGAGCCTCGGCAGAAGCTCGATAACACCTCGGCTTCGGTTTGTGGCAGGTTTGGCTTGGCTCAGCTGTTGATTTTGTTCAGACAAGTCTCAACCTTTCCCAACCATTCTGTTGTAAACAACAAACGTTCTGCGACGTACCGCACTGAAGTGTATTCAATCACACACCTTCGGTCCAGCAGAGGAAACTGCTCCGTCACAGCTCGAACTGTTGCGTCAACAAGGCTGCTTCCCTAGCCAATCAGGGTGATCGTTCTGTGCGGTTCAGTAAGTTCCCAGACGGTAGTTTACGGTTTGTGGATTTCATCCCTCCTGACCTCTTCAGGACAACTCTTCTTGGCACTGCATAAGCAAGGTACAGAACTACTAGACCCCTGCTGCTGCTGCTGCTTCTCCTGCTGCTTCACGTCGCGCGTATCCTAAAACCTGCATGGAGGCTGTTGTGGGAACGGAACTCGCCTCCAGTTTCGCGTCTAGTTTTTTCTTTGTCGTCACAGCTGCCAGATTGTTTGCAAAGTCTCAGAATACACCCATAAAGTGCCGCGAATGCCGCTTACCTGTTATATGAATTCCCTCGCGTCGCATCGGCTCGCTCTCTTCGCATCAGCTCACTCTCGTATCATCCTCTTAATCTCCTAGCATCGGCTCGCACCGTCAGCCCTTTCCCCGTGAGGAAATGGAGCACCTCTGTCCCATCCACAGTCTTCCCGACGAGCTCCTCATCAAGATCCTCTGGCATTCCTCCTCCAATCAGCAGCAGTCGACCTCTACATGCAATTCTGACAGCGACGCATTATGGGCCCTGTTGACTCCCGAGCCCAGGTATATCTATGCAGATCCGTCCGTAGATAAACCCATCCAGCCCATATTCGACTACGATTACCGTGACGACGACAAGATTCCGTTACAGACGTTGCCCACTCCTATCCTCGCAGACGCCGCGCGAAATCTCCTAATTGCGTCTGTCTGCCGTCGCTGGCGAAGGATCGCTCGGCGTTACGTCACTACTCTTTTCGTCAGGAAAAGCATCGTGGTTTCTTACCAGGACCTTTCGAACGCCGTCACCTGCTTCGCGAATCTCACCCATCTCCACCTGAGCGACAGCTGCGTAGAAACCCTAGACGATGGCTTCTTCACTCACCTCGCCACGTCATGCGGGTCTAAGCTGACAGCCCTCCACATAGGACGTCGAATCACGCATACGCTGGGCAAATACCCTCCTCACAGCGATTCGCGGGTAGATCTACACCCCGTATCTGAATCTGGCTTAGACCATTTCTTCCGGCGTTGCTCTCAGCTGCAGCAGCTTTCCCTTTATTGCCTCCACCCAGACGCGAAGCTACCGGCTTCCTTCTTCCATCTAACGGCTCTGCACACCCTTGTTCTAACAGACGCGTCCGCGTTAGAAGCTCCTGATCTGGCGAATCTCACTTCCCTCACCACGCTCCTGATTGCGTCTCTGAAACTCACGTGCGAGCAGCTCTCCAGCCTCGTTTACCTGCGCAGCCTCACCAGCATCTCCATCTCGCAAGTAACGCAAGTTGACCACTCTGCTGCTCTCCCCATCGCACAGCTTTCGAAATTAAAGTCGCTGGAATTCGCGGGATGCTGTCCCGACTTGTTCCCGTCAGGAGAGCCGAGCAGCAGCGTCGAGCGGCTGCTGATTTCCGAGTTTAAAGACGTGGATCTTCCTGACGACATTGCACAGCTGCTGCCGCGCCTTCGGGAACTCTCCATCCGCGAGTGCGATAGGTTTTCCGAGCTGCCCGAGAGCTTCACTTCCCTCAGCAATCTGGAGACTTTGATCATCTCCACCTGCGAGTATTTCCGCAGCCTGCCCCAGAATTTCGGGCAGCTGCCTATTTTGAAGACTTTGGTGCTGGACGGACTGCATATCCCCGAGCTTCCAGACTCCTTCTGCCAACTCACATCCCTGGAAACGTTCATACTGACCGAATGCGGTGAAATCGAGCAACTGCCTGACGGATTCTGCAACCTCACATCGCTCCAGACCCTTTGCATCATCCACTTGGATTTGGAAGAGTACGAGTTCTCGATTCCAGACTGCATTGTAGGGTTCCCTGAACTGCATACACTCTATTTAAGGACTGTTTCTGTGGATCAGCTCCTGCCTTCACTCCCCCGGTTGACTTCCTTGACTCGGCTTGAACTACGCAGTTGCCTGATGGAGGAAGACCTCCCTGAAGATCTAGGCAAGCTGAGTAACCTGCAGCAGCTGCATATCCGTAACTGCCCAATCAGGAAGCTTCCGGCGTCCTTCACAGCTCTCAGCAGCCTTCAGATTCTCACAATCGAGCATTGTTATGAGCTCGCTTCAATAGCAGGCAGCCTGAACAGCCTGAAGAGGCTCAAGCAGTTGGATTTGATAGGTTGCCCCATGCTCACTGAACCTCCTGACTTTTTGCCTCGCTCTCTTGAGGTTCTCAGCCTAGAGCTCCCCCACCGAGTCCCCTCCCTGCCAGATCTCTCCGTGCTGCTGAATTTAAGGAGATTGACTCTGAAGCTGGAGGGCACAGGACAAGGAGCAGCCGGAACCACCACCTTCAGCAGCAGCAGCAGCAGCAGCAGCAGCAGCAGCAGCAGCTCACCGCATCTGAAACATCTGGAAAATGTGGAGTATCTGGATCTATCCATTGGAGAGGCTGTTGAGCAGTTTCCATTCCCTCGGTTTCCGTTCCCGCAGCTTCGATTCTTGAAGATCTCGTTCGCGAAACTGATTCAGAGGCTTCCAAGCGACCTCGGGTGCGACCTGCCGCAGCTACGGCAGCTGCGGCTGCACATCACCAAGGGGTTGATTGAGCTGCCAGAGACCATCACGCTGCTCCGGCACCTCACATCGCTGGACGTGGAATGGGCTTCCCAGCTAGCCTCACTCCCGGATGGCATGGGTGCCTTATCCAGGCTGAGGAGGCTGCGCCTGTGCCACTGCTCAGCGCTGCAGCACCTCCCCGCCTCCCTCACCCGCCTCTCGTGTCTTCACGAGCTGAACGCCGAGGAAACATGCATCCGCGCCCTTCCCCCCGGCATTGCGCAGCTGACCAGGCTGAGGTGGCTTGACTTGGGCGAGTGCAAGCAGCTGCAGGTGCTGCCAGAGGGGTTGACCGACCTCAAGATGCTGCGGTACTTAGCGGTGAAAGGGTGTGAGACCGCGATTGACAGTGTGAGCGAGGAGCAGGAACGTGGCTTTAATAGAATGTATGACTTGAGGACAGACGTTGCTGGCGAGTAGCCTAGCCTCTCTTGTGCATGCTCAGCCAGAGGGACTGACACTCTGACTGAGATCAAGGTATTGCTGCTCTTCTTGGTTCTGATTAAGAAGCTATTCACATGTATGATTTGATTTGATTAGCCAGAGGTTAATAGTGCTTTTTGTTCTTGGTTCCCCCCTTGCATACTGCTCCGCCAAATGTGGACTTTTTGCTGCTTTTGAGAAGCGCGTGTGTGAAAAAGATCCCTCCGGACCAGAGGCACCCCACCAGGTGTTCCAATGGTTAAAGTGATCCAGAACCTGAACTACCACTGAGAATACGTAGAAAGTGGGAACAAGACAACACTTTGTGTTATTTTGATATACCGAATTGCATGAACTCATTAGCACCATAGCTGCAGCACCATAGCAATGGCAAGGTCAGCACATTGTTGATAGCCTCCCTGCTACAGCAACAGCAACAACAAGAGCACCATAGCTGCAGCACCATAGCAATGGCAAATAAGCACATCGTTAGAAGCACCCCCTGCTGCACCCAATAAGTGCAATGTGAGCGCAAATTTGACATGTGGGTTAACAAGTCAGTGTGTTCAAGTGAGGGAGCATGAGGCAGGGATGGCATAATGGAAAGGCATGAGGAGATGGCAGGAGGGGTATGGAGGAGGGGAAGACCAGAGGGAAAGGCAGGAGGGAAAGGCAGGAGGCGAAGTCAGGAGGGAAATGCAGGAGGGGAAGTCAGGAGGGGAAGGCAGGAGCGGAAGGCAGGAGGGAAAGGCATGAGGGAAAGGCATGAGGGGAAGGCAGGAGGGAAAGGCATGAGGGAAAGGCATGAGGGGAAGGCACGAGGGAAATAGGCACAGATTGGGAGGTCATCATGCTTCCTCCTGCCCATGCTGTTTCGGCCAGTCATCAATGCACACACCTCCTTTGAACCTCGGGCCCTTTGAGGCGCCTCAGAAGGTGTTATCATTCGACCATGTTTCACCCTCCGCATGCTGTTCCCCTCGTTTGATCCTCACATGAGACATACCTCGTTTGACCCTCACGCCTCTCTGCACTCATCTCACAGCATTCTTGACCCCCTTGCCACACATCAACCTCATGAGTCTCGTAATGGATTCCATGACCCCCATGACCCCCTCACGATCTTTCATAACCCCCATGACCCTCATGAACCCCTCACGACCCATCATGAACCCCTCACGATCCATCATGAACCCCTCACGATCCCTCATGACCCCCTCACGATCCCTCATGACCCCCTCACAATCCCTGACGACCCTCGTGACCCCTGATGCCATGCAGCCTGTGCCTCATGCGCTCTAGCAGGGGGGAAGTGGGCAAGACCATGAAGGCGTGGGGATCGGGACAAGAGCACACAAGGGAGTGACATACCTCCGCACAACATGAGGGTAGCGGGCAGTGGAGTGGGGAGAGGGGGGAAGTACATACACAAATAGACCTGGGAACGTGGGAAGGAATGAACAGGACACGTGAGGGTTGCGGACAGAGGGTTAAGAAACGTGGGCAAAAGCGGGGTGAGGTGGTTTGAGGAGAGAAGCTTTGAAAGGGAGTTGAGGTATTCTGGAAAGGGAGGAGGCGGAGGATGGGGAGGGGGAGAAATTGCATATGGTTTGGAGCGGGGTGGGATGGAGGGTTGGGAGAAACATGGGGGTTTGAAGGATCACAGGATAGCAATCGGTTGACCAATCTATGGGCCTGACATGCGTGAGGGACATGTCGTGACATGATACGATGAAAATGATGAAATGTTATTTCCTGGATAAGGTTTTTGCGGATGGAGAAAGGAGGCGGGCGAGAGATGAGAGGGCCAATGGAGGGAAGGGGGTAGTGAGAAATGAGTTTGTATCCGGCATAAAAGCTCGTCGTATGACACAGGGAGCTACACTACACTGCCAGTATGGCAATGATATGTTGTATCGAACCCGATCGGGTTGACTTTTGAGTCGACTCGAAAGCCAACTCGTCGTATACCACAGGGAGCTACATTGACAGCAGCATGGCAAAAACATGTTGTATCGAACCCGATCGGTGAACGTAGAAACCATGCCATTTGACGCCCATTCATTCGATTCACGTCAAATGTGATATTTCGTCATGTCACTAAATGTCATGTTGCCTTCACGTGTCACGACGACACTTACCATGTGGTCATGCATCATCCCATCATGCATCATCCCATCAAGCATCATCCCATCATGCATCATCCCATCAAGCATCATCCCATCATGCATCATCCCATCAAGCATCATCCCATCAAGCATCATCCCATCAAGCATCATCCCATCAAGCATCATCCCATCAAGCATCATCCCATCAAGCATCATCCCATCAAGAATCATCCCATCAAGCATCATCCCAAAAAGCATCATCCCATCAAGCATCATCCCATCAAGCATCATCCCATCATGCATCATCCCATCAAGCATCATCCCATCAAGCATCATCCCATCATGCATCATCTCATCATGCATCATCCCCGTAGCATGTCATGGCGTTAAATCGAACAATACTCTCTTACAACCCATTCGCAACATCCCTCTCACGCACAACACACCATGCAGCGAATCATACCTCAAAAAGTCTGCTCCTTTCAAAAACTTTCCTCTGAACCCTTTCCTCGCAATTCCTCACACTCGCCGTGCGCCCTCCTGTTCTCTCTCGCACCAGCTTCGTCAACTCTGCTCACACCACCTGTCCGCGCAACCCCACACTCGCCGAACCTAAACATTGACGCACGCCGTGCATATCCGCTGCTTAGCATCGCCGGTCCGTGCGTCCACCTGGTCTTTCCCCAAATCAGCTTCCCCAACTCCCGGCTATCCTCACAACCCTCACACTCGCGGACCCTACACGTTCACGCACGCCGTGCATCCGCTGTTTAGCATCGCCGGGGCGTGTGGCTGCCTAGTAAACCCGCCGGTCGCCTCGCGTCAGTCCATTAGCATAATTCCGTTCAAGTCAGTCCTTTGGCGTCCGTCCATCCGCGTCAGACCATCCGCGTCAGACCATCCGCGTCAGACCATCCGCGTCAGACCATTCACGTCCGTCCGTTCGCGTCAGTACGTTCGCGTGCTTACTGGGGGGGCATACAGCAGAGCACGATGCGGCAGAGCCGCATGATGCAGCTCGAGTCATCTGCTCGACGGATGTGATCTCGCAACAGTGCTAAGGCACTGATGTCGAGCCCGACCAGCTTTCAGAGCATGCGCGTGGACTCATGTGCTCCTATGCTCGACAGGGCGACGGTGGAACCAATCATTCATATGCTCATATGCTCAATGGTGCGACAGTGCGACCACTATTCATATGCTCAATGGTGCGACAGTGCGACCACTATTCATATGCTCATATGCTCAATGGTGCGACAGTGCGACCACTATTCATATGCTCATATGCTCAATGGTGCGACAGTGCGACCACTATTCATATGCTCATATGCTCAATGGTGCGACAGTGCGACCACTATTCATATGCTCATATGCTCAATGGTGCGACAGTGCGACCACTATTCATATGCTCATATGCTCAATGGTGCGACAGTGCGACCACTATTCATATGCTCATATGCTCAATGGTGCGACAGTGCGACCACTATTCATATGCTCATATGCTCAATGGTGCGACAGTGCGACCACTATTCATATGCTCATATGCTCAATGGTGCGACAGTGCGACCACTATTCATATGCTCATATGCTCAATGGTGCGACAGTGCGACCACTATTCATTTGCTCATATGCTCAATGGTGCGACAGTGCGACCACTATTCATATGCTCATATGCTCAATGGTGCGACAGTGCGACCACTATTCATATGCTCATATGCTCAATGGTGCGACAGTGCGACCACTATTCATATGCTCATATGCTCAATGGTGCGACAGTGCGACCACTATTCATATGCTCATATGCTCAATGGTGCGACAGTGCGACCAAAAAATCATATGCTCGGCGGACTCGCTCTCACAACGTTGTCGAAGCAACGATGTCGAGCCCTAAGGCCGCCAATCACGCAGACGCGAAAGGACGGTGCGGCGACACGAATTGCAAAGTGCGGAGCCTCGAAAGACTCGGTGCGACAGTGGACCTGATGCGAAGCGCGGCGGGAACGCAGAGACTGCGCCGAACTGCGATGACGGCGAAACACGGAGCGGTTCAGTTCCGCGACGGCGAATTGCGAAGATGTTGGATGCACCAAGAACACCCGCGACGCGAGGAATACTATAAGAGAGCATTGTAAAGCCGCAGTGCACATGTCGCCGTGCCGCAACTACAAAGCCGTTTTGTAAGAGTCTAGATGCTGTTGGAGAGGGCATTTTGCTTCCATCGTCTGCGTTGCTCGCTAATCTCACGAGCGCTTCCGTTACGCAGTGGGAGTCCGTGCTGCTAAAGCGTTCGCCTTGAAGCCGTCGTAGTTGGTTCTGTCATGAAGCCATGAAGCTAGGAACTCAAGTGCGGTGTGTGACGCGACGCGAGCTAGTAAAGTATTTGATACTACAAGCTCGCTTTGACAAAGGCGTCCGCTTCGGTGCGGTGCGGTATGCTGCAAAACGCGTCGTCTCCCCCTTATGGCGGGGTTGAGAAATTGTGAACGATCCGCTGACAATGTAGACTTATTTCGCCAGTCGTCAGCCGCTTTCGGTAGTTCGCCACTTTGAGGGCGGTTACATATGTTGGACCGCTAACGACGCTTGCGAACAAACCTGTTGCACATACAGAGGCAGCGTGAAGCGGGCGAATTCCCAAACGGTCTGCTCCCAAATGCAGCGTTATACCGAATCTTGGAAAACGTTTTTAGCCGAGCATCTATCAGCAAAAATGAACCATACACAACCTTTCTGATTGAGCTCCATTCGCCCAGCCATGTCACCTCAGCCCAGTCCAGCACGAGATCCAGTCAGCTGGGCCCACATTTTACTCCAGATCCGTCAGATCTGTCATACCTCGTGACCTGGGAGAAAGCTCATGGCTCCATGCAAAAGCGAGGAGCCTGGGAG